GCGCATGGCGCCCGGCCCGGCCCGGCTCCGGCTGCGGCTGCGGCTCCGGCCCCGCCCCGCTCCACGTGGCGCCGCCTGCTCCTCCCGTCCCGTCCTGTCCCGCGTCCGCCCGGATCGCTCCCAGCTGAGCGCGTAGGAGAACTTCTGCCTTTCCGTCACACCGAGCTGTGCAAAACAACCAAAGCACAACAAAAGAAAGACCTGCTAATGAAATGAGGGTCAGATTCATCCCATCGATTCAGTGGATTTACACAAGAGATGAGCTCGGCTGTTTCAATTCGATATGAACAAATAGCAACCTATTTGACAACTTCGCCTTTCCTTAGCACCGCTTTCAGATCGAGCTGTGCAAAAAACAAATAAATAAAAAGAGCTACTAATGACATGAGGGTCAAATTCATCCCATTTAATACATCAGCTGTCTTCAGTGGATTTGCACAAGAGATCAACTCAGCTGTTTCAATTAGATATGAACAAATAGCCCATATTTGGAAAACGTTGCTTTTCCATAAAACCGCTTTCAGATCAAGGGGAAAAAAAAGTTACTGATGAAATATCCCATTGATACATCAGCCGTCTTCAGTGGATTTACACAAGAGATGAGCTTGGCTGTTTCAATTAGATATGAACAAATAGCAACATATTTGAAAACTGCCTTTCCTTAAAACCACTTTCAGATAGAGATGTGCAAAAACAAAAAGAGAAGAAAAGAAGAAAGAGCTACTAATGAAATGAGGGTCAAATTCATCCCATTAATACGTTGACTGTCTTCAGTGATCATCTCTGCTCTCAGGTAGATATGAACAAATATTTGAAAACTTCACCTTTCCTTAAAACCGCTTTCAGATTGAGCAAAAAAAAAAATAGTTACTAATTAAATATCCCATTGATACATAAACTGTCTTCAGTGGATTTACACAAGAGATCAACCCAGCTCTCTCAATTAGAGATGAACAAATAGCAACATATTTGAAAACTTCCCTTTCCTTAAAACCCTTTCAGATTGAGCTGTGCAAAAAAAAAAAAAAAAAAAACCCACACAAAAAACAAACAGGCAAACACAAAACCGCTACTAATGAAACGAGGGTCAAATTCACCCCATCCATACATCAACTGTCTTCAGTGGATTCACACACGAGATCAACTCGGCTGTGTTAATTAGATATGAACAAGTAGCCACATATTTGAAAACTTTGCCTTTCCATAAAACTGCTTTCAGATTGAGCTATGCAAAAAAAAAAAAAAAAGATTTTTCAGCTGACCATCTGAAGCAAAAGATGAGATAACAATGTTTTAGTTTCCCCCATATACAGAAGAAAAACAAAAATCCCACTGAGGCTGACGGAAATGCTTTGTTCAACTCAAAACAGTTGTTTGGTACAAGTAGGGGTTTTTTTCACTTCTCTCTTTTTTTTTTTAATTTAATTGAATTAATTTTTAATGAATTGCCCACAGCCAGAGGCCTCGGCCTAATTCAGGGGGTCACAGAGAAGCAGGGCTGGCAGCAGGGACCTCCCAGGTACAGACGTTACACTTTAACAGTAGAAGTGAGGAGAAGCTGGTCTATACCTGGAGCACAACAGAAGTTCAGCGCACATGGATGGGTTTCAAAATGGCAGAACCGGGTCAAAGATTTGCCTCTGCCACCGAAGGGGAAACGTGTGTTCTGTTCACCACCAACCTAAACTATACTGCTTACAGAAAACTACATAACTTAGACCAATTCCACCTTGGGCTTTTTGAATGTCTGCACCTAGCCCCAGAGTGTGACCACTGCCTGAGGCGGGATCAGCCCTGGTCACACCACCCCCTACAGCCATCACATAAACTCATAGGAGGATTTTCTCTTTGCCCAGGACCCCAATAAATCTTAATTCGTCACTGTCTAAACACTACACGAGACTTGTCAACCCTGACACCCAAAGCTGCCACAGGTAACGGGGGAATCAGGTGGGTAATGTCTTGCTTCTATAAAAGGTTGTCAATATAGGTTCGAGGAGAGAGCCCTGCCCCAGCTACAGAGGAAGGCAAACCCCCACCCCAGTCTGTACCAATCTGACCATGGAGTAAAATGTATTCCTGGCCTCAAATATGGCATTGGTCTGACACTGAGCAGAGGGGCAGGACCCAATAGCCAGGAACCTCTGGCTTTGGTCCCAGCAGGGGCACCAGCACACCCCAGTCAAAGTCCCCAGCTTTGGCTGCAGCCAACACCCGCCTGAGGGAGTCCTAAAACAATGACACGGAGCAGAAAAGCAGGGTGGGGAGCAACCAGCAAAGCACAGAAGCATGGGAAATGCCCATGGTGGAAAACAGTCATAGCTACGCCTAGATCATGCCTGGCCAGCGGCTGTCTGACCTCTTCTCAAATGCCTTCAGTGACGGAGAGTCCACAACTTCCCCAGGCAGTCTGTTCCACTGTCTCATTGTTTTAACAGTGAAGAAGTTGGTGGTTCTCAACATTTTTAGACTCACACCCCTCAATGGACTCCAGGCATCATTAGACTCAAGGCATCCTGTGAATTGAGCAGCACCTCTTTCAAAAACGAACGTATTTATTGCAGTGTTTAGCTCTTTGCAGAGAGGCAAACAGTTGCGGTGGGGCACTAGTCAAGCAGGGAAGACCCTGAGCATGCACTCATCTGCTTATTTCCTCATACCTGCCTTATCTCCTCAGATCTTGGGGCACCCTGCAGAGCATGAATGGTGTGTGCCCCCGGTGGCTGAGGGGGCACGGCTGTGCCAGTGGCAGTGGGAGCCTGGTGGTGGTCAGTGGGGAGCTCCCACAGATGCCGCCGGTGCTGTTGGCAGCAGGGAGTGGGGAGGTTAGCGAGCACCAACCACTGGTCGGTGACCACCTGCAGGCACCTCTGGCAGCAGCAGTGGCAGCCAAGGGTGAACATGGACCACCTGCAGATACCATGGGCAATGCTGATAGAGGGGTGGCGAGTGGCAACCGCCCACAGGCGCCGCTGACAGTGTTGGTGGCGCCATTTTGCAGGGGGTGCATCACCACACACGGGGGGGCACATGCACCCACTTCCACCCCCTACATGTCACCCCTGCTGCAGAGGATCTCACTGGCTGCACCTCTGGGTGTCCCAGCCTAAATAATCACTGGCCTAAGTACAGTAAATCCCCTCTCCACACTGTTGCTACACCTCCTGGATTTTGGACCATGTTCTCTGGGTTTGTCCTTTTAAGGAAGTTAGAGTTTTCCCTTTTTAAAATTTTTTTAGAAGATTTAGAGTGCTGTGCACTTTGTAAACCTTCTAAAAGGGAAAAGTCCCTGCCAACACAGACAGAAGTGCTGCTTAGGGCTTTTTGAATGAATGGCCTGTTTATCACACAATGCCAGTTGGGGTTGACTAACACTATTTGTGAATTCACAGTGACTTCCTGTGGAGGACAGAAGGATAGAAAGAGTGAATTGGAAAAGTTTTAAAGATTCATTTACCCATTTTTGAAACAGAGATTTTGATTTTTTTTCCAATATTTCAAGACCCAAATTCAATTTAAAAAAATGAGAGAAGTGAAAAAAAACTAACACCAAACAAACCAAACCAAATGCTTTGAGTTGAACAAAACATTTCAGCCAGCCTGGTAAGAATCTTTGTTCTTTTTCTGTGTACTGGGGAAACTAAAACATTTTTTCTGATCTTTTGCTTCAGCTGGTCAACTGAAAAATCATTTTTTTGCACAGCTCAATCTGAAAGTGGTTTTATGGAAAGGCAAAGTTTTAAAATATGTTGCTATTTGTTCATATCTAATTGAAAGAGCTGAATTGATCTCTTGTGTAAATCCACTGAAGACAGTTGATGTTTTGATGGGATGAATTTGATCCTTTTTTAATTAGTAGCTATTTGCTATTAATTATAATAATAATTGTATAGTAGTATCACCCGGATACCAGTCAGGTCACAGTTGTACTTCACTGGGAATCGTACAAATAGAGACAATGACAGTCCCTACCCCATATGAGCTTGTGTTAAGGCTGGGGTGATAGGGGAAAAGGAGGAGTGGTGCTGGTGCTGGTGCTAGCTCAGGTCTCTTGGCTCCTAGCCATATCCTTGCTTGCCAGCCTTCTAGTGGCAAGTTAAATGTGTTCAGGCAATAAATGGTATTAACCCCTAACATGCAACTCCTTGTAGCACATCCTAACTATCTACACTTCAGGGAATTATGCACAAAAACATTCTGATTATGCACAGAAAAATTCAAAATTATGCAAAATTAATTACTTTTATTTATTTATTCCTGATGAGTATTTATTTTTTTTACAAATTAAACTAACTGTAACACTATTTGAACCTGGCAGTCTGCCAGCAAGGTGAGCTGTACCTTGCTGGCTAGTTCCTGGCTTGCCCTCAAAAGCTTTGAGAACAAGTTGGCTGCACCCCTTCCTGTCTCAGGCTGCTGCTGTTGCTGCCCCCCTCATGGGGGGGTGTCCTTTGTTGCATGCCACATGCTGCTGCCCCCCCTTGAGGGGGAGGGGCCACTGTACTGCACCGCACCCCAGCAATGCACCCCAGCTTCTGCACTCCTGTTCCAGCCTGCTGCCTGTGGCAGAAAGCCACCTTGGTTTCTCCCCAAAAATCTGTACCCTGTGACACTGTGATTTAAATCTCTGTGCTGTGACCATTCAATTAGGGTGGGCCCAGCACACAGGGGACCACACCCTCAGCCTGTCTCTT